TATATATATATATAGTTCTTTAATATCATAATCATATTATTAAAAAATGTATTCTATTTTAAAAAAAAGAATAATGATATTTTTAATTTGAGTTAAATATTCTTGTAAGTAAATATTAATATTTATATTTTAGATATATAAATATATAAGAGGATTAATAAAATCTCTCATAAATTGTTTGCTTGCGCAATTCGAAAGTGGCAGTCCTGTAATTTATGAAATAAAAAATACCCTTTATGCGCCCTTTTCACTCTTTTTCGCGGCGCCATATCATCTTTTTGATACTGACGTCATCTCGCGATCCACAGCCACGAGAACTCGTGGCTGGAAATCGCAGCAAATGCTGACTAGGATGCCAGATGGCCCCAACCCTGAAACCTACCGGCTTTTCCCGGTCACAATAGGGTTTCTCTCCTTCTTATCGCAGCTGTAGGTACCTTTTAGTTCCAATTTTATCAGATTTTCTTCCTAGCGACTGAGTGGGCTGCGATAATATGGCTAGGGTTGATAGTGGAGCAATGTCTGACGGGAGAGATCCGGCGATCAAGCTATTTGGGAGGAAGATACCGCTGATGGAGGAGCAGTCGCTGGTGGAGGAAGGGGAAGTTGCTGATTTGGCTTCGGCGATGGAGCCGATGAAGGCGGGGGAGATGGTGAGCCGATTCGAATCGACCTTGTTTTTACTTTGTTGCTTATATTGGCTTTTGGGTTTTAGATTGAAGAGTATGGAATGATTCCGGAAATGGATGCGGTTTTTTGGTTTCAAATCACCGTTTTTGTTTGTTTTGTAAATGAACTTAGTTGTTGCTGTTTTTAGATGGGGTTTGTGTAGAAGTTGGGGTTTAGTGTCGCATTTGTGGGTTTTGGTATAGCTTTGTGTTTGATCTTCCCTAAATTGGGTTGAAAGTGAAGGGCATACTGTTCGCCAAAAAAAGAAGAAGAAGAAGAAGAAGAAAGGAGTTGGTCAAGTTGGGATTACATGTACTTGGAGTTTACCTACTCATGTTAGAAACTTTGGGGATTTAAATTCTCTCTGTTTGCAGTTTATTTATAGCTTGCCTGCTGTGGCTTGATTGAGAAATTAGTTCTTTATACTTTTTATTTGCTTTTTAAATTTATTGATTTATATTTTTATAATAAAAGTCGAATCTAGGCATTTCACTCTTGGGCTTAAACAAACGGGGTTGCTTGGTTTGAGATGGGTTTGTATTTTTTAGTTTGATTATTTCTGGATCCCGATTTTTCCTGTAAAGTTGAAGCGGAAGATTTTGTTCTACTATTGAATGAATGCTCAAAGAACGATTTGGATGAAATTATTTTGATTTTTCTTCTTGAAAATGTTAAATTTGCCTTATATTTCATTTTTTTCTGAAACACAACTCGTAATAGCCTCCCCTTCTCATAAACACAGTGTTAGTTAACCTTATTATACTTTAGATGCTGTGATTTGAAGAATAAAATTTGAATAACTTCAAAAAATCTTTAGGTCAATGATCATTTATCTTTTAGTTCTAGGATGTTGGTTTGCACGATCTAATCATATGCTATTCATAGAGTTTTTTTTGAACTGCTAGGATCTTTATTTGCCATATTAGGATTTCGTGCTAGTGAGCTGTAATATAATATTTGAAGAAGAAGATTGATAAAAGTAGCATAATAACAAATTTAAATGTGTGGTTTTGATCAATTTGTGAGCTGCAAGTCAGTAGTTAAAGGAATGGAGCATAGATTCAGAAAGGGCGTAGCACAGTGACAAACCCAAGAACATTAGTGAATATAAAATCTTTACTTATGTAATAGCACAATCATTTCATTGATGGAATATAGGCAAAATTTCCTATGGGATTTTGTATTTTGTGAAAGCATAGAAAGATTACCCCCAAAGTCTTAAGAGACCCATGATGATTCATCTTCCACACAAAATATCATGGTTTAAATTGAAAGCCCTTAAGCAAGCTATGAAGACCTAAACACTCTAAAATTTCCAAGTTTTAACCAAATTTAGTGGTATATTTCCCAATCAGCTTTAAAAATACAAAAATGCTCTTTGTGGCTTTCCACCCATATGTAAACAAAGTATAGCCCAGGGAGTTCAGTTTACTGAAGTGACTAATCTCTGCCATGCGAAACATCTCCTAGCACATTCCACCGATCTTTGAACTTTTATGCCACTAAGTGGGGTCGACTACATAATCCTTTTTCTTCATTGCGTCCTATTATTGTGATATTTTCATTTAATTCTAATAAATTAAGATCATTTTTTATACAATATGCTCAATTCTTCCTAGGTCTGCCTCTGCCTTTCTTAGCATAAGTCGAATCTAAAACATCTACTCTTCTAATCGGATCATCCAATGGTCAACGTTTAATGTGACCAAACCATTTAAGACAAATCTCTCTAATTTTGTCAGTCACTGGTGCTACACCATCCCTATCAAGGATATATTCATTTCTCATTTTGTCTCTAAGTGAAAAGCCAACCATCCACCTAATCATTCTCCTCTCGGCAACACTTAACGTAGTTTTATGCTTCACTTTTAAAGGCAGCCATAGAGCATTGCAGGTCTCACCACCATCTTATAAAATTTTCCTTTCAGTCTAAGTGTTATTTTTGTATCACACAATAGGTCAGAAGCATTCCTCCACTTCAACCAACTTGAATTCTACTAATAACATCTTTGAACAATAGACCTGAGATATCTAAAGCGTTCACACCTTTTAATAATTTGATCATCCATAGTTACATTTATGTCACTAGAGCTACAATTGCTAAAATTACATTCAATGTATTCAGTCAGATGTAATAGATTAACTATTTATTCAGTGTTCACACTTTCTATTTCAATCATTTTTTCATTATATTCATTGATAAAAAGTTCATTTTAAAAGTAAAATAGTCAAATAGTTAGTGATTACTTCTTTGTTTAGGTGATAGTTTGGCATCCCCCCTTTTTTAAAGAAAATTATTGAGGTGTAGATAAAATAAATAACAAATTATAAATAAAAAGAAAATAGAAGTAATTTTGAAGTTATCATTGAAAAGTAAGAAATGGTCTAGATGTGAAAATAATGTGAAGCCTTAAACAATGTTCACACATAAATCCTACAATTCAAATTGTGAATGCTACCACGTTAAATTATTGTAATCCTCATCCTAAATACCCCTTTAGCTATTCCTACTTAGGATTGCGATCTTGAGCATCCATGAGAAATTTCAACCTACTTGGGAGCACATGAGTGGCATGAAAGTGGGTAATGTCACGATTGAGGAAGCAACAAAGGGAACAACATTTAGGAGTGATAGCAACTTAAGAGTGAGAGTGAAAATGCACGATATGATCTTAAAGTGAGAGAGAATGCGGTTAGCTAGTATAGGAATAGGAAACACACAATTATGTACAATATAATTTATTATTAAAATTTTAAAAATATTGGATGTAGTTACTTAAGGGTGTTAATTTAGGTTAATGGGTTTGGCTTGGCTCTAACCCAAATTTGAACGAACCGAAACATCCCAAACCCAACCCAAAATTATATTATACATGTCTAAAAGCTTGGGCCAAACCTAACACGTGTGACCACACATTTATTATATGGTTATATATATATATATATATATATATATCGTTTGTAACCCTATGTGAGATTTTGAATCTTGTATTCTGTACACTTTTCTGAATATTAAAAAGGAAGTTATCGCTCTGCTCTCGAGGAAGTGGCATCTTTGCTGAACCTCGAATTCTCTGTGTGTTCTTCTGGATTTATGTCGATTCCTATTTTTCTTCGCACTAATTTCTCAACACCAATCGATCGAGATCATTTTTTATATAATATGCATAAATCTTTTTAAGTTTACCTCTGCCCTTCTTAACATAAGTTGGATCTAAAATATATACTCACCTAACTAAATATATATATATGTATATTCTTCATCACAATCGAATTAACTCAATTACAACCTATTAAGATGAATGACACTTGCCAACTAGTAGAAGAGATGATGCATTTTATACTAAAAAATAAATGGGTTATTTTTAATTGATTTTGGGTTTTAGGTGAACCAAAAATTGTTCTGTGTTTATTTAGATGAGTCTGAACTCGAATTTTTCGAGTCAGGTCATGTTGGGTTATTATGTGATAACATTTATTGATGCCTTTATAATTATTATAAATTAGAGTGATTTAAAGTTGAATTTTCTTTAATAAAAATCTAGAATTTTATTGGTTGCAATTGGACTCCCTTAGCAACCCATAGATTTTTCATTGAAGCAGAGTATTAAAATATTATGAATAGAAGGAATTTCTTTCTTTCTGTTTTTTTTCCTTTTTTTTGAAGAAATTTTATAATTGAGGATGGTGAAGTGTTATGCGGTCATGATGTTTCTCATGCTAAGAGAAGCATAGATATGATGAATTGAAATTGAAGTCAACTACACACAACTAGTTACATCAACTGATTGCCACCAATCTTGAGGGTGTAAAATCCTATGTTAAGCTTTAAGTTAGAGATCGAGTTTTTGATGACTTGTGAATTGTTGGTGGGTGAGCTTGCACTCAATCATAGTTGGAGATTGGACTTCTGGAAAAGCCCCGAAAAGGGCCTATTGGATTTAAAGCTTTTGAGCTCTTGAAGGCTATAAATGGTGATTAAAAAGGTAGAAAACTCACAAGGTGTCTCAGTTTAGAGACTTTAATTAGAGCAATTCAGGATTTCTTAAAATATTCCAAAGAGCTAAAATTTATTTACCAACTATTTGATTGTAGAAATAGAAGGGAGGATTCTTGTTTAGTTAGCCAATTAGACTATTAATTGTTAGCCAAATTTATTTGATTGGAGAATTTTGTCATGAAAAAAAAAAATGTTTAATGGACTAATTTATTTACCCTTTTTCTATTTATTATGTGGATTTTATGAGCATAAAAACATCTTATTAAAAATACTAAAAATATTTTAAAAAATATATAATAGTTCTTAGATGAACTATTATACTTTTTTTTTTGTTTCACTTGGAACTTGGCGGGGAAGACATTTGATGCAAGGCATTTAAAAAGATTTTAGTCCATGGATTCTACGTAGTATTAACTTTAAAAATTATATTAGCATCTATATGTCCATGTATTTATACAACAAATTTAGTACACTTAAACATATTACACATAGGTATAATTTAGCTTCTAATAATATTGGCTAAATAATACTAAAAGTCATATATTATATGTTCAATCTTTTTTTATGTCTCAGTTTGTCTGGAGAACTATTATGATTTGAATGCTCAACTTCTTAGGGTTGCCATACAATATAGGATCTTCAGGAGCTTTTCCTTATAGGTATGGTTGGGTTATATCCTGAGAGTTTCATATTTTATAAGTAAACAAGGCCCAACTTTTTTAAATAGAGTAATAGACACATGGAATACACTGTGAATGTCAGCCACGTCAAGTGGCAGGGCAATATTATAAGCTGTTGATCCAATCTTTTTTAACATTTTAAGGTTTCCAATATATTACTTCAGATAGTGAAGCCTTCAGAAATATTTTTGTTAAGGGTATGTCATTCCTCATTTAGTTTGCATTATTTTTTTGCTTTCTTCATTATGTTAAAATTAGCTTTTTGATTGGCTTAAGCTTTTTTTTTTTTTTGTTCTCAAATTTACAAGCTTAGATCCCTATAATTTTCTTGTAGTTTTCCCAGCAAATCTGGGCTTGGGACCTACTCTATAAAACGGCCCACCCAACGCCTTGGAGCTAAAACATCCCGCCCCTTAACAGCTAAAACGCCCCACCCAACGTCCCACCCAACACCCATGCCTTTTAAAACATATTTTTTAATATAAATCTCATGCATGAGGACATAGGAGTCGCCTTTCCTAAGACTTTTGTAAATATGTGATGTTGGACTCTTAGTCATCCATTGTTGTGCTTATAGAAGTTTACTATCTTTTTGAACCTACTAGTGTGTATATATATATAGATAAATAGATAGATAGATTGTTATGTCAGACAGAAATATTTTTTTCAATAGCTTATGCTATAAGTTTTCATTTCATGGCTTGTAATTTTGTAATTATACCTTGAATAAGGTGGAATGTAAGCTATTCTTTTATGGTAGAGCGCTGCATTTATTTATTTATTTGTAATTATCTTATGATATCATTCTTACAATAATTGTTATAAAAATCACTTTAACTACAAATGACATGTTTGCAAAATGCTGCTGAGCTAGTTCTTATTTTGTGTTGTTTAGGATGCCTGTAAAGAAATGGGAAACACTGAAGTCTTCGCAATCGAAACCCCAAAGGATTTGGACCCAAAGGAATCATTCAACTCATCTTGCATGGGCAATACCATTGAAGAAGACCAGAAAACCTCAACTGAGTCTGCAAAAGAAGCTGAAGAGCTGAAGCCCGAACAGGATAACAAAGAGACTGAAGCTTCAGGTGAAGATAAAGTTCTGAAGAAACCAGATAAGGTTCTTCAATGTCCACGCTGCAACAGTATGGATACTAAATTCTGTTATTATAACAATTACAATGTCAACCAACCAAGGCACTTTTGTAAGAACTGTCAAAGATATTGGACTGCTGGAGGAACAATGAGGAATGTTCCTGTGGGTGCTGGAAGGCGTAAAAATAAGAACACTTCCTCATGCTATCGGCATACGGTGCTTACGCCCGATGCAGTTGCATCAGTTCAAGTTGATGGCTCTGATCTACCCCATCATGAAGCTTCTGCATGTGGCTTTAGTTCCAACAAGAGGGCACCCCTGAACTGTAACGGTACCATACTAAAATTTGGACCAGACGTGCCTCTTTGTGAATCCATGACCTCCGTGCTCACTCTTGGAGAACAGAAGAGAGCTTCAGAGTTGGGCTTCACAACCAGGGAAAATAGAGAGGAACCCTCATGTTCATCACCTGCTACAGTTTCTAAACATGCAGAAAATGGTTTTCTTGAAGATGCGGAGCAAAAGGCCTCTCATTTATACCAAAATGGACTTGCACCCTTGCATCACCTGCAATGTTTCTCAGTGCCTCCTTGGGCATTCGCCTGGAATCCAGGATGGAACAACTTTGCTGCGGCCGCTGCCGCCGCCGCCGCCGCTGCTGCCATGGCAGCAGATGGGAGCTCATCTGAGCCTGTTCCTGGACAAGAAACCGGCTTTGTTGCACCAATGTCATGGACTCGTCCGCCATTGGTGACCGCTCCTGCTTTCTGTACTCCTACATTTCCATTTCCAATAGTACCTGCTTCCTTTTGGAGCTGCATGCCTGGCTGGACTAATGGACCATGGAATGTACCTTCAGTAGGAAAGAACAATGGATTGTCACCATCATCGTCTGCAAGCACCAGCAACTGCTCTGGAAATGGTTCTCCGACTTTAGGTAAGCATTACAGGGATGCTACTTCTAAGGTGGAGGGGAATGCTGAGAAGTCCTTATGGGTTCCCAAAACTTTAAGGATTGATGATATTGATGAGGCTGCAAAGAGCTCAATTTTTGCCACCCTCGGTATTAAACCTGATGAAGGTGGTTTATTCAAAGCCTTCCCTTCCAAGTCTCGGAAGGCAGAAGCTGCAGATCCCACACAGCTGTTGCATGCCAATCCAGCAGCATTTTCTCGTTCTCAAAGTTTTCATGAGACCACCATATAATTTGCTAATGCTTTGTTAGCTTTTCTTTTATTGATTCAATAACGCTGTGTTTTGTTGTCGGGAAATTTACACATGTAGCACACAATTCTTATGTACTTGCATACTCACACCTAAACTTTCATATTTATGTAAATATCATTTTGGTGCTTTAAATCTATGCATGAAAAAGGTGTATTTCAGTTTTAAACAATGGTAATGGTATTATTTTTGATGTGATATTATAGATTTGAATGCTATGTGTGTAAATTTGAAAGTTTAAGCGTGATATATGTAAATACCCAAGAACTTGCGCTATGTATGTAATTGCCCCTTTGCTTTTATGGATGCTGGTGAGTGACATAGGGAGATTATTGTAGACTTTTAGTTCATTCAGCTGAAGCTGCCTGCTGATGCTGTAAGGATTGTGAAAGGTTTGTGTTGTAAATGATCATAAAGATGTATGTTTATAACTTTTTTTATCTTATTTGTTTTTTGGCTATCCTGGACTGAGTTCATGATGTTGGGAGAAATTTTGTTCAGTGAAATAACAATGAAAACTTGCAATTGTAGACGATTATAGAAATAGGATATAAGATAGTTATGTGATCAAACATTAATGATTACTGCTAATAATTGACATCATTGGCTGATGCTAATGTTCATATCACCTGATTGCATTATCCATCCACTTTAACCATTTGCAATTGGCACCAATGTCTAGAGTTAACCAGCTCGTCATTCACAACCATCGAATATGTTAAAGACCATCATTGAATGATTGCTTTTGTAGACTTTCAACCAGTACAAGTGCTAATTACTCCTTATTTTTTTCTCCAATATCTTTTACTATACTCTCGCATAAAGATAAAATGACAATACAACTTTGGTAATCATACTTTCTCGAATTAAGGTGAAAGACAAACTTGAAAAGTATTCATCTTATATAGCATATTGTTTTAATTGGGTCATCTCTCTTGATTTTTCTTCTGTCATGGTTTTGTTCATGTGAACAATTTGTGTAATATTTGTCCTCCCCACCATTATCATTGTACTAAAATTTCTCCTGTCGTAGTTTTAGAAATATTTTTTTGACCCTACCAATTCAAACTATTGCTCTTGTGCTGTTGGGCTAGGCCATAAACCCCCAACAAGAACTATGGACTCAATCCAACACTGTCTCATTACTAACCTTTTAAATATACTTCAAGAAAAAGATACATTTTCTAGTTCATGAGGATTTTCTTATGTCACTTTAGGTGAATCACTTTGTATAAACTTTTTTGGCCTAAATATAATGGTAAATTTTTGCTTAATCTATGAAACAATAGTTGGTCAACTCTTACTATCCAATTTCATAAAATTCATAATCTTATTTGCTCACTTTACCTTTATGAGATTTAACAAGATTAAATAATAAGAATGACCATAATAAGGATTTATGCTTCGGATTGAATCCAAAAAGTTGAGAAAACTCAAACGACTACCTCGGAGAAGCTATACATCCTCCATGATGCTTTAGACACTTGAGCTCCTTTTACCAAGAGGTATAAATAAGGGAGCCTAATCATATCACCAACATCAATGATTAAGAGACATTATATCGAGGACTTCACAACAATAAATTAACCATACCAAATTGTATGATAAAAGCTTCTAACTTGACTCACCCACTGAAATAATTCAAAAATAGCTCTTCTTCATTTTATGACTTTCATAGAAATCATAAATAACTTATTTAAAGAGGAAACTAGGAGCCTTATATTAAGGGATTTTTTTAAAGAATTTATATCTCCATAAGATATAATATTTCTCTCTTGACAGTAAATTGAGGGTTTTATTTTTAATTGCATTAATATTTTCTTTCTTGCAAACAAGTTGGGCATATTATCATCTTTTTATGTGATCATATATCCCATATTGGATAGCAATTAAATTTTGTTATAATAAATACAGTCTTTTCTTTTTTTATCTAAAAAACCTAATAAGATATATGCCTTAAAAAGTATAATCCATAAAATATACTTAGTACTAAATAAGGTCCTTATTGAAAAATTTTAGAAGGGTTTTCACTTATTTTAAATGACATAACTCTCTAATTACTCACTCTTATAAATAATCTCGAGAGACCTGAGCCTTAAAACTATCCAAAATTGAACGTCTTCACTAAATGACTCATTGAAAGCAATTATTAGAGATGATCTCTACTTATATAAGAGAAGTTTGGAGGCATAAAATTCAAAAGGTATAAGATTATTATTTATCTCAGAAATTTAGAAGCCAAAAGAGCATGTAGCACTAAAAATAGCCACTCACACACACCCATCCACACACACACACACACACACACACACACACACACACACACACACACTGATGGAAGCTACAACTCATCCTCTGCTGCCTTTGGGAGACTTTGCAGAGACCACAATGAACACTGTCTATGATTTTTCCAAGCTCCAATGTTTGCTAGAGATGCTTTAGAAACTGAAGTTGCTGCTTTCTGCTGGGCCTTAAAGCTGGCTATCTCATTCCATCAGAAGTACATACATCTAGAATCTGATGCCCAACATCTAATTTTGATCCTGAAGCAACAAACCACTGCACCTTCATATCTTATCTACTGAGTTAAAAAGATCTTGAACCTCTCTTCTTCAATTATGGTCATTTGGAACTATGTTCCCAGGGAAGAAAATCAACCCGCTAACTGGCTTGCCAAATCTAGGAGTACTTGTAGAATCATTTCCTGTAATGTTTTACATCCCCTCTTTATTGAAAATTTAGCTTAATGGGGACTCAATTGAGCTCCCATATATAAGATTTAAAACTCTTTCTATGGAATAGAAGAATCTTTTTCAGCAATGCACACACACACACACACACACACACACACACACACACACACACACACACACACACACACACACACACACACACACACACACACACACACACACACACACACACACACACACACACACACACACACACACACACACACACACACACATATATATATATATAAAAACTAAACAAAATAAATATTTAGTTGTGAAGCATCATATAGAGCCATTGCACCTATGTAATGTTAGCATACTCTTCATTACTACAATTGGAGATTGATTTGTATTATTTTTATTTTATTACGTTTTATTTGCATAATCTTCTACATATGAGAAAGAGTTATTAAATGCCTCTTTAAGGGATTACTACTCAATGTTGGTATTAGTCTGGTGATGCATTGTGAACTTTCAATAAATAATTTATAAATAATATTTTCAAGATATTGATGCTCTAAGCCCTTCACCTCAATTTAAAAAAGTTATCATGAATATCTTAAATTTGTTCTTAAATCATGTCATGATACTCAAGATATTTATTAAAGTCACTTATAATTTTTAAGGATAGCTTTAGTGTAAGTATTGACGATCAATGTTTGATTAAAAAATTCTCAAAGAAGGCAAATTTGCTTATATTTTAATTTCTTTTAAAGATCTACACACTAAAAAGAGCACAAAAAAAAATTGATGAGCATATAAATCAAATAAGATAAAAAAAAACAAAATCAATAAAGTCAGTGTTCCTGAATTTTCTATCCCAACAAATGACATTATTTTATGTTTTTTCAAGTACATTCCTAATAATTCTCAAGGTTATATATTATGTACCTTTTCAATTTATAATGTGGATTCATTTATTTAGGAAGCTATGTTTTTTTCCCTCAATTTGAGATTGTGAGACTTTGTGAAATGACATAATTTATGTCTGTTGGTTGAAAGCATCACAAGATTGAGCTAGGTCATTTACCTTCACGAATAAGTGAACTTGCATTTAATGATTTTAGATGATGGGACCATGAAATTCTAATTGAATTGTTAATTTTTTTTTATATAAATGATTTATCCTACCATAGTCATCCTTTATGTTCATTCATGCTTATTGACTCTTAGTGATTCATCATTAATCAATTTTCATATAGGATTTTGTGTATGGAAAGATAATTGTAGTTTGGTCATAATGATTCACCATCTCGTGGTTTGACCCATATAGAAGCAAAGAATACATTATTAGAATCATAATTTTAATCATATTTTACTCTTTGATATTCACTTAAAGTAAAACATGAACATTTTTCTCTTATTGAGATAGTCTTTTAAAGGAGCCCGAGAGTTTAATTAACTTTAGATAATCCACTCTTTTTGGTTGACAAATGAACCATATTTCTTTGTTTTAATTTTAAAATTAAAACTAATAATAAGGATTTTTAGTATGATTTTATTTAAGTTGATAAAAGACTTTTAGGTCCTACTTCATTTGATTTGTTTTCTTTTTTTTTCTTCTTAAGTAATTTCCTACATGAATATGTACCCTCACACACACACACACACACACACACACACACACACACACAAATATATATATGCACGGGCGATCGCGCGCACCCACCCACTCACAGACACAAACACAATGATAACTCATGATGTTCTCAATATGTTTAAAATATCTACAATTGACTTGACACAAAAGTTGATCAAACTAAAAAATATCCTAGTTATAGCATAGGGCATCTAAAAATAAATTTTTTCAAGAATTTTAAGATAAATTTTGTAGGTGTTATAAACATATAAATGACCTACAAAAAAGACTTCTAGCGAAGATCATGAGGGTATAAAAATTTAAAATTATTGTTTAAATTTCTCAAAAAAATTTAAATAAAAAATTGATTAAGGTCGTTTTAAGGTCTTTGACGGGAGATGCAAATCTTAGAGAGACGCAAATATTAGGGAAATAGTCTTTGACGGGTTCAAAATGGGATTTAAGGAATTAAGATCATTTTAACCAATCTTTTCTATGCACTCGGGAGAGGATAAAGAAGAGAGTTGCTCCTATTTGTCACTAGCCACATTTATAATTAGTATTTTTCATTTCCTATGCTCCACTCAAATCATTACAAGGGAGGGTAACTTTATAACTTGATATTCACCAATCCAAATAGGTTAAGTAGGATTTCTGTAGAATTTAACATTTAAATCATTTTGCAATTCAGTACGAGTAGTTTGTAGAACTTTAACCTAATCTCAATTCCAGGCAAATAATGAAAACTAGTAGACTAGAACATTTCCCTAAGTCTAATTCCACCGTTTCCCGTGGGATCGATTCCAGACTAAAAAAATCTGATATTACTGATATGATATGTACACTTGCGTGAGCCCCCACAATGTGAGTGCACCTAGAAGCGGTATCAACGACCACCATCATCTAATTGCCGCCCCAGACAAACTGCCGGTACTCGATCACCACTGTCGCCTCCATCGAATCATCATCATTTGGTACGTGGCCACCGCTGTTTGACCACCACACTTGTCATTGTCGAACCATGATTGTTTGGTCGCCACTGTCGTCAAATTATCGCTACCTAGCCACCATTATCGCTGCGACCAGAACACCGTTATTGGGCCACCGTCGGACCGGGAAGGATTACCACTATCGCCGACACCAAATCACCGTCGTTGGGTCTCAACCACCACTTGGCCTTTGTTGCTCGGCTATCACCGTCATCGCTGTCGGACCACTGCCGCTACCAATGATTCTATCATGAAATTTTTTGTCACATGATCTCTGATGTTGGTCTTCCTTCACAACAATCGTGTCGTCTCCACTTCTCCGACATAGTATTTTACTCCTCTAGCGGAAGTCACTTCGACAACTCTCATTTGTGTAATATTGCTTTCAAATATTCAATGATCGGTAGTCTTGTAACCTATATCGATATAGTGTAATCAATTCAACCAATCTATGCCCCATGATTTTTATCCTACCGTCAAATTGAGACCGACCATCACTATCATTGACGCCAAACAACTGTTGTTGGATCTCCACCACCACCCGACCTTTGTCGCTCAACTATCACTGTCATCGCTGGCTGATTGCTACCACTCGAATGACACTAGCATCAAATTTTCTGTCACACGATCTCTGATGTCGATCTTCCTTAACAGCAACTGTGTCGTCACCTCTTCCCCAACTATGCTAGTGGAAGTCACTTTGATAACTCATTTATGTAATATTACTATTAACTATTTAATGACCCGTAGAGTTTTGTAACCTATATCAATACAGTGTAATCATCTCAACCGATCTATAACCCGTGATTTTCAACTTTTCTAGTTTTCCACATTAAAACTCTATTTATTGTCTCTAATAATTTTTTTCTTATATTTGTCTGTGTCAGACCTTCGTACAATATCACTTTAGGGCTTTGAACTTAATGGCACACAATACAACTATATTCAAACTCATTAATTATAAAATTTTCATCAAAATAACTTCAATTAATATTTTCTGCACCAACATAATTTTACTATCATAGTCAAATATATAATTAAAAATAAAAACACCAAAAAACTTCTCCAATGGATGCTACCATGACGCACTAACAACAGATCCTATTAATTTCTTTAGTAGTTACAACAGCTCCAAATTTAAAATGTGCCATTAATCTATCCCAACTACCATATATATATATATATATATATATATATATATTATCATGATATAAGAAAATGGTCACATCAAGATTACATAAAATTTGTAGCTCCGGCATGAGCACATGTGAAGGCGTAGGGGCTAGACATTTGTGCTTCTCTTATGCATCCATCCACTGCTTCCTGTAAGCTACGCAGTCCTCCACCAGATCATCATCCCCATTTCTTTAACTATATTTTGCGGCTTGCTCCCTTTTTTCAATACATTTTGGACTCCCTCAATAATTATTTAATTAGGTCGTGCAATCTGCAGACAAAACAAGTTAGCCATTAATTTTAGCAGTTGGCTTTCTTTTCCTCTCCACATTTATAGAGAAAGCGATCAGTTTTTTTTTTTCCTTTTTTTTTAATTCATTTCTACAATTTACAGATTATATTAATTTTAGATGTATTAATTTATGTCCTATACTGCAAACTTTGTGTAGCATTATATTATTATGAACTGACAAAATTAATAGAATGCGATTTTAGCAATAAATATTACCAAGTAATAACTTTCACCCATCTGCAAGCTCTGCAATAGAATTCCATACTCATTAACTGGAAGAAACTCCCCAGATGAATGCACTATTAGCACATCATGGCCAAACATGCTTCTAATGTCAATCGGTCCTCTTGGAACCTCTGTTAGGATCTCATTAATGAAAACAGTTACAGTGCCTGCATTATAATTTTGAATGGTAATTTCAGTATTTATTCTGCAACAAATCCTGCACATATATAGTTCTATCGCCAACTTCATCAGATTCACTTTCAGCAAAATGTTGTGGTATTATTTATTTTGTGGTTTGACAAAAATATGGTATAGTGTAATTTTATTTGTAGTAAAAAATATGCAAAAGATAATGCTGTATATGCAATTTCATACATAAAATTTCAAAGTATCCCTCCCTATCTCTTTCAATATTGTCAACAAATGGTTGTTAACAAATGGTTGTTGGTTGCAGACACGTTGAAAGAGGTGAAGAAATTATGTTCTTATTCAGAAAAAAAAGAAAAAAAAAATTCAATCATTTTCAACATCTAATTTAGAAGAATCAAACCAAAAGGGAAAAGAAAGATTAATATAACTAGCTTAAGTTGAAAGGTAAGAATTTGATTAAAGGGTAATTAAGTTGCCAGTTTTTACTTTTAATTATATTTCAAAGAAGAAACAACAGCTGATAAAAGAGTGCTCCTGAGTTAATTAAGGAGAAAAACCCTTTAAATCACTTAAGAAAAGCTAATCAATTAATTTATTTGAATACTTAATTAATCATCTACCATAAGAAAACCATCCCCTACCAGGCTGATGCTCGTAGAACCTATTGGAAGATGAAGTACTATCACCAAAGCCCATTTGTTGTGAAATGGAGAACAGATCATCAGCACTTTCACACCAGACCGAACCCATGGACGACGGCGGCGATGACGACGAAGGAGAAGAGCCAAATGAAGACGTCAACGAAGCAGCATCTAAGCTCGATGACGAGCAAGATGCTGCCGTTGACTCATAAGTAGAAGTAGCGGCCGCTATGGCTAGCGGCCAGGCTAGCCTGCAACTGTCTTTGACGTCGGCGGGATCTTGACCGGCGGTTTTGGAACCAGTAGAAGACATTAGCATCCCCAACTGATCCGAACTTCTCGAGAAGCTTTCGGATTCGGACTGTTTCTTCTCGGGGAGGATTCACCATGCCGCTGTTGAAGATGGATTCAAGTATAAGGATTTGTTCGGGCTTCGGGGTCCATCGAGATCGGATGGGGTCGGAGACGGCGTTGGTGCGGCTTGCCGGCAATTCACCGGAACTGGGGATGACAGTATTGGTGGTGGGTTCTTGCGGTTGGTTATTGTCCATGGATTAGTTGAAGAAGAAGAAGAATGTGAGAAGAGGAGAGGAGGAACGGGAGTGTTGAAGTCAAAGGGGAGGAGAGGATATGAGGACAGGAGATGGATGAGACAAGGAAGAATCGTTGGAGAAGGAAGGGGGCAATGGTGATGGTGACATGTAGATGATATGAGCAATGACAAATGAGTAGATATATTTATAGACATGTGGGTGGACGATAAACTATGAGTCAAATTCACATGGGTGATATGAGTGATTGATACATATATTAATTTGACTTGTGTTTATGGTTTAATACAAGATTAGTATGGGTAATTTTCAAACCTTAAAACAGTTTAGAGATTGTTACTAGAGAAGAGCTAGCACAACATAGTGCAATTATAGCTCTTTTAGCTCAACTAACAAATCTTATTGCTCTTTGTGTCTCAAGAGCACATTCAAGTTATACTTTCATCTATAGAAATATTAAATACCAAGATGGTATTCCCATGAACTCTTCTTTTTATTTTAAGAAACCTTCTTTAAATTAATGGGAGTGAGTCTAAGAAAAATATATATATATATTACGTGCGGCCAACCGCATGCACGTAATGATAATTGTTAAAACTCAGAATAATGTGGTGGAATACTTAATATTTCATTGATTTGAACGGAGTTATAAATACTGATATGAACGGGGTTATAAATAACCCTTACAAGAATCTTGTAATAAGAAAAATAATAAAAGGAAATGATATTAAGGGAAGGGTATAACACCTGATATCTCCAATAATTAATTCATATTAATTATTAAAAGATATAGGAAATAACATAAAATAGGGATATAGTAAAAGATATAGGAAATAACATAAAATAGGAAAACAAATATCTCATTAATTCTAAGGAAATAATTTATTCACAGGAATAAATTATTTCCTATCATTACTCTAACTCTAATTCTAATTATAAGAATAAATTATTTACTATCATAACTCCTAACACTCCCCCTCAAGTTTGGAATGTATATTAATAATTCTTAACTTGCTGAGTAGAATCGAGAATTGAGAAAAGTTTAGTGGTTTTGTGAAAATGTCTGTTGGTTGTTCTAAAGTAGACACATGAAACAACTTTATTATTACTTTTTAAACTTTCTCCCGTATGAGATAATAATCAATTTCGATGTGCTTTGTTCGCAAATGGTATGCCGAGTTCGAGGCGATGTGAAATGTTGTTTGGTTATCAGAAAATAAATTGACAGGATGTGAATGCATGATTCCCAAATCTTGCAGAATTGTTCTTAGCCAAATAATCTCGCAGTAGGTAGTGGCCATGGACCGATATTCAGCTTCTGCACTAGAGCATGATATTGTTATCTGTTTCTTTATTTTCCAATAAATTAATGAACTCCCAAGGAAGATACAATACCCAGTAACTGATCTTTGAGTGTCACGACACCTAGCCCAATCTGCATCACAAAAGGCATTTAGTTGGGTTGAGCTTTCTACTGAGAGGAAAATTCATTGTCATGCTTTTTGTTTTATGTAACGTAGAATGCGATGGTTGCTTCTAAGTGTGACACTCGTGGTTTGTCCATAAGTTGACTTAAGACATGAACTGCATATGTCAAGTCAGGACGTGTGATAGTCAAGTAGATTAATCTCCCAACTAGTCTTCGGTATGATGATGGATCACTGACATATTCTCCCTCTGAATTGCTAAGAGATAAGTTTTGCTCCATAGGGAAAGTGGCTGGTTTTGCACCAAGGTACCCAACATCCTCGAGTATTTCAAGAGCATACTTTCGGTGTGAAAGCATAATACCCTTCTAGGATCGCCTAACCTCAATACCAAGGAAATATTTCAATTGTCCAAGGCCCTTTAATTTGAATTGGTTCCTCAAGAATATTTTGAGATGTTCGATTTCTTGTAATTCTTTCCCTGCAATGATGACATCATCTACATATATAAGAAGAGTGATTAATTTATCATTCTGGGATTGAACAAACAAAGAATAGTCTGCCTTTGATTGCATAAAATTGGCTTGCTTTAGAGCAGTTGAAAGCTTGATGAACCATTGTCTTGAAGCTTGTTTGAGACCATATAATGATTTGTGGAGTTTACAAGCTCGAGTCTCCCCTTTCGTCCGAGGCCAGGAGGTAGCAACATATATACGTCTTCGTCGAGGTCCCCATGCAAGAAAGCATTGTTGACATCTAGTTGGTGAAGATGTCCTTGCTTGGTTGAAGCTAACGCAAAAAGTAGGCGAATAGTTTCAAGCTTTGCTACAGGGGCAAATGTTTCTTGGTAATCTAGCCCTTCAATTTGATTATACCCTCTTGCCACTAATCTGGCCTTGTAGCGTTCAACTGTCCCATCTACACGAAGTTTGATTTTGTATACCAATTTGCATCCAAATGGCTTCTTTCCAGGCAGTAATGGTACAAGGGACCATGTGCCATTGACGTTGAGTGCATCAAGTTCTTCTCCCAAAGCAACCTGCCACTTTGGATTACGATCGGCTTCTACAAAGGTGCTTGGCTCCTTTTCAATTGAAAGGGCGGTGGTAAAAGCATGATGTTTAGGTGACAATCTAGCATATGACAAGACATCGATTAATGGATAGATGGTACCTGTGGCTTTGACCAACACGAAGTTCGATGTTGAGGGGTGCCTTGAGGGAAGAGAAATACCAACATGATACTCACGCAAATAGCTAGGCGTTTTTGTTGTTCTTATTGATCGTGGTGATGTTATTTGTTGGTCTAGAGTTGCAGGTTGTTCTGAGAATAAATTTGAAGGTGAAGTAGTTTCTTGAGAAGGGATTTCGTTGTCTTGAGAAGATGGAATATTTTCTTGAGGTAATTCATCGAATGAAGGCATGTCGCTGTGGGTGTTGAAGTGTGGAATTGAGCCCTTATCTGTAGTGAAAGAAGGGGAAGGAAAAGTGTTTTCATGGAAACAAATATCTCGTGATACAAAAACCTTCCCAGTTGAAAGGTCATAAACTCTATAGCCCTTTTGTGCGTATGGATACCCTAAGAAAAGACATCGACTGGCTCCTGGATCAAACTTTTTTTGTCGCTGATGATGTGTTGAGGCAAAACAAAGACACCCAAACATGCACAAATGATCATATGTGGGTTTTGTTTGGAGGAGCATTTCAAACATTTCTTTTGTTTGGAGGAGCATTTCAAAAGGAGTCTTTCCTTGGAGAAGGGGTGTTTGTGTTCAGTTGATTAGGTAGGTGGCAGTTTGGATTGCATCTCCCCAAAAGTTTTTAGGTAAATTAGCTTGAAACAATAAGGCTCGGGCTATGTTGAGTAAGTGACAATGTTTTCTTTCGACTACACCATTTTGTTGCAGAGTGGAGACACAACTTGATTGGTGAATGATGTTTTTGTCGAGATAGAGATTCCTCAATATGAATTCAGGACCATTATCACTTCGAATGATTTTTACTTTTAGATTGAATTGTGTTTCAACGAGGTTTATGAACTTGATGATGTATGAATGTGTATCTGATTTATGGTTCATCAAATAAGTCCATGTGCATTGAATATAATCATCAACAATTGTGAGAAAATACTGTGCTCCTGTGATTGAAGAAACTTGGTATCGTCCCCGAATGTCAACATGAATTAATTCAAAAGGTTTTTTTGAGCTAATGTAACTTGTTTGAAAATATAACGAGTTTGCTTAGCCAATGGGCAAATTAAACAATCAAAAACATTACAAGTTTTCTTGTCTATAATTGGAAAATGAAACAAGCTGGAAACTTTATTTGATGGGTGGTCTGGACGTTTATGCCAGAGATTTGGGGATGGTGAAGTAGCAACATTGCACTTGCTCTTTTGTGGAGTATCAAGGTAGTAAAGGCCTCCTCTTTTAGTTTCCGCCCCTATCATCTTCTCCGATTGTTGGTCCTATAACACACAAATGTGGTTATTAAAAATGACAAGACATTGTGAATCAAACAAAAATTTTCTAATGAAAATCATATTTAATTTGAAGGAGGGGACACATAAAACATTTTGTAGAACAAAGTCAACAAAATGGATGTTGCCTATGTATGTGACAGTTGCAGTAGCCCAGTTAGGCAAGTGAACTTTTTGATTGATGACATTGGATTTTGTAGTAATTAGGTTAGCTGAATATGTCATGTGATCTGTAGCTCCTGTGTCAAGAATCCAACTTATTTCTTTGTCAAAAACAGGAGTACAAAAGATTTTACCTGAGATATCACTCATGGCTGATGTACTGCCAACATGATTAGCCATCGTATTAGATTTGTTCTCTGCAAGTAGTGATATGAGGCTTTGATATTGTTCGACTGTAAGGGTCAATGGTGTAGTACTCATCGATGTATTGGTATCCGCATGGTTGGCTTTGGGAGCAAAATTTTTCCGTTAGGATTTATTGCCCGCTGGATTGGTCATTTGCAGCTTCTTACAGTCATTGATGGTGTGTCCCTGCCATCTACAATAATCGCATTTGAGATGTGCTTGACATGTGTCTGAGGTATGCCCAATTTTGTCACATTTTCCACACTTTAAATGAGGATTTAAATGAGGATTTTTAGAGGATTTTTAGGCGTGAAAACCTTCTCTGATTTTTGTGCATTATTCTTCACGGCAAAAGCTGAAGCTTCTGGCTGCGACACATTTACATTATTCATGTCGCACTGTTTTTCCTCTTAGAGCGCGAGAGAATGTGTCTTGCTGACATTGGGAAGGGGATCCATGAGCAAAATTTTTCCTCTTATACTAATGTATGTTTCATTAAGGCCCATGAGGAATTTCATGGTTTTTTGGTTTTGCTGAAACTGCATCACTTCCTTCATGACACCACACGTGCATTTATGAATGTTATGGAGGGTGTCACGTTCGTCCCATAGGACTTTGAGCTTGGTGTAGTAAGCTCCAACTGTCATATCGCCTTGCTTACAATTGTGGATGGTTTCTTCGACATGGAAAATATGAATGTTGTTGGTACAAGAAAAACGTTCCTTCAAGTCGAGCCAGATTTCATGGGCACTCTCGTTGTATATTATACTTGCTCTAATGTTTTCTGTAATTGAATCAAACAACCATGTCTTGATAAGGTTGTTGCAGCACCTCCATTGTTGAAGTTCTGCGGTGGACGTCTCTGGTGGTTCTTTGACTGTGCCGTTGATAAAACCTTCTTTGTT